ATATACTGTTGATTATACACTGTGAGTTTCTGATGACTAAAATCTTTAACTGAAACTCATCTAACGATGTTATAGTGGATGTTTGCTCTCTTCTACCACCGCTCTCTTGTTCTCTTTTCGACAAGGATAGGCCGACCACTACATAGAGAGATCCATATACCAGTCTTGACACCTGCCTGGTGCTGGAAAGTCGGAATACCCCTTTACAAAAACCAATGCTTTCCGGGTCATATTTCTTGATTTGGGAAAACGGCGCATAAATAAGGGCTTATATTTTAAGATATTGAGTTGGACAGTCAGTCACATTGAACCTGAGCAGAAAGCWTGGTTCCATTGATTCTTTCAACCTTTGCGAATTCAGTAGTTATGCTATGTACCCCCTATATTCAATTAAAAGACTAGAAAACCTCATTTTGTTATATAAACTGCTGGGTTTTGATATTGGTTTTGAAGAAAAGATTGTAAAACTATTTTGATAGTTTAAAGGTGTTATTGTTATATATTTGAGTATTAAAAACTGTGTTGGGAAGGATAAAGAAGGGATTCTTCTTTAGAACAGTTTTGGAAATGATATCCTGTTTTGAGGATTTAAAAAGGGATATGATGTTTTGGAAGTCATTGAAAGAATAGATTGTTCTTGAGTTTGAAAGGTTTTGATGATAAAACTGTTGGTTGAAAACTATAGAGAATATTCTTTTGAGACGATTGTGATTTTGACTGTCTTCATTTGAAATCAATCTATAGATTTTATGGATAAAACTATGAATGAGAATTCGATAAGATGGTTGTGACTGCGGTCCTTCATCCGAACTAGTTCATATATTTTGAAGAAGAAATAAGGGTGACATATTAAGGAGAGGTGTCTTTTGGAATAAGGGTGGCATATCAAGGAGAGGAGTCTTTTGGAATAAGGGTGGCATATCAAGGAGAGGTGTCTTTTGGAATAAGGGTGACATATTAAGGAGAGGTGTTTTTTAGATATAAGGGTGGCAATTATGTGTGAATATTATAACTCTTACTATTATGTCATAGAGTTAAAGTGAGAAGCGTAAGAAGGGATCTAGACCCTTTATCCTCTTTAATCTCAAACCCACCTATGAATCGTCTTTGATACGGGGATTGATCCGGTACATCTCGATGCATCTCATTGTAATGTGCATCAAACGGTGGAGATCCATTCTTACGCTTCTCACCTTTAACTCTTCATTCTCACCTGAACCCAGTCCTGTAGCTTATAGTCTATGACATGTCCTCCATTTTTGGACACAACCAAAACGAGTCTTTTAGAGCAATTTCATCGAGTGGAGAACCAAAACTCAAAACCTACACAAACTTGCACTTTACGATACTTTATTTTAGAGATTGCAACGTTAATTATATTATTAAACTATTTCTTACACTTAATAAAATATTAATTCTCGCTTATAAACATTCAATATGAACGTTTATCATCGGTGGTATGCTCTTGGATTTACATGTGTAATAATATAATATTTGATGGATCGACGTCTTTTAAATGCATTACAATAAGTTGTTAGGACAATATTAGACGACCTAACAAGTTTTATCTACAAAGTTGGCCAACCTACTAGATTAAAAAAATAAATCATTCTATTTGTCTTATATGAGATTTTTGAAAAATGTCCCGGAAGTGTCGTATAAAAAGATTAATAGAACGATTTATTTTTTGTATTCAGGTTGTTCAAACTCATGTTAAGCCGCCTAACTTTATTCTAACAACTTGTTGTAATACTTTTAGATATGATACATAATTTTTGGTCATATAAACTTAAAATCCCATTAAATACTCTTTCATAACTCAAAAGGATGGTTGAAAAGATATTGTTCTTTTTAGAAATAATAGTATTGATGTTATTGAGAAAGGGAAAACTTGGTCTATGGTCATTGATATTGGTTAAAAGTGTTTTGGAACAGAATGGTTATTTTTATGAGGAATCAGAGGGCCTCTGGTTGTTCCTTGTAAGGAACCAGAGGGGCTCTGGTTGGTCCTCATTATTRGACCAGARGATTTTGGTTATTGATTTGGAGAATGAGCAAGTTTTTACTAAATGTACTAATTGGACCAGAGGCTCTGTATCTATTAATAAGAACTTTTATGTCAAAATCATATTTTTAGAAGTTTTTAAGAAAAGAATTTTTATAATTAGAATCTTTTTATGAAAAACAGACCAAAGAGGCTCTGGTTGGCTTACACGTTGAACTAGAATCTCTGGTTAGTACAACTAGAGGCTCTGGTCGAGGAACCATAAGCTCTGGAAGAGATACCAGAGGGGCTCTGGTCGAGGAACCAGAAGCTCTGGAAGAGAGACCAGAGGGGTTCTAGTCCTAGTTATTGAAATATATTACAAGTGTGGTTTGGAACCAGAGGCTCGATGGACCAAAACAAAATCTGATTTTTATTCTGCATGTTGTGAAATGATTATTTGATAAATGTTTTGGTGATCTTCACCCTGCATTACATAAAAGGTTAAGTCCTACAAATTTTAAAGTGAAAATAAGAAATTTGAATTTTGTGTAAGGATTTAAAATATTCAGTGTTTTTAGTTTGTAGAATTTGAAATATAATTGATCCTAAATCCATGTTTGTGGGATTTCAACGGCATCCCAAGATTTCAAATCCAAACATTCCTTCAAATCAAATCTCAATTATATTTGGTTTGATTCCAAAATCCTATCATTTCTCGCAAATTAAACGTGACTAAGGAAACGTTTGGTTTGATGGAATAATTTTCAGGGATTCAGATTTCATGTAAAAAATTTGAATTGAAAGGATTTAGATTTAGAATATTTGATGCATAGTATTTGGAATGAAATAAATTATGTTCTTTATAAAAACTTTATAACAACAAATTATAAAAAAAATTAAAAAAATTATTATGTACAAATTCCTATAAAATGCCTTGAAATGCAAGAACCCCTCAGATTTCAAAATCCTATATTTGTGAGAAATATATTTCAAATGTGGAAGTCTTTCAAACTAAACATAAAAATAAAATGAAATGAAATTTCAAATTCCTCCAAATCCAATCCAATTCCGAAAACCAAACATGGCCTAAGTGTATGTACATGGTTTAGGTTGCTAGATATAAAAGAATTGAGTTCTCATCTACCTGTTTTTCATTAATCTTCATCTAACTTTATTTACCTTTATCTACCTATTACTATCTTCATGACTAAAACCTTAAGGCTGCGTTTGGTATATGAGACATGACAGGACGCGACAAAACTTATTGTTTCACGTCTGGCGCGACATGTGATAGGGACAAGAATTAGGACAAAGTGGAACAACATGAGACAAAAGAGACTTTTTCTCAACTCACTAAAATAGGTGGAACAAGATGGGACAAGAATGAGACAGAAACTAAAATATTTCTACCCTAGTTTGATATATAACTTTAATATGATATTTGTTTAATGGTCATGACTGCTAGTTTTGGCCGCCAATACCACCGACAGTCACCGTCGGCCACCTCCACCTCCTCTTCCACTACAACAACATCCGCCATCGCCTCCACAACCACCCTCCATCGCCACCTCTACCACAGCCGACCACTGACCACCATCGTCCATTGCCACCACCACTACCGCCATCGGCCACCTCCAACTCCTCCTCTACCACAACGACCTCCTCCACCACCTCCACAACCATCGTCGACCACTAACTACCACCGTCCGTTTCCACCTCTACAAACACCATCGCCCACCGACCACCACCGCATTATCACCTCTACAACCACCATCGGCCACCGACTGTCACCGTCTATTGCAACCAACAATACCACTGTTGGAGCTTCGCAGCAAATACACTAACTAATCACAATTACTATTTGATAAACCTTAGGGGGCGTTTGGTTCGTAGAATGAAATTCGATGGAATTGGAATTCATCAAATGAATTTGACTTTGAGGGAATGGAATGGAATTTGACCAAGTCTTTTGATTGCGTTTGGTTGGATGGAATTGGAATGGAATTCTTAACCGAATTGGAATTTTTTTGTTTCGTTCACTGAATTCAATGAGAAAATTACAGGCAAAAAAACCGAAACCGATGGTGAAAACCGAAATTTTCGGGCTGGGTTCAGGGACATCATATCAGGGATGGGGCGGGGATCGAGGACAAATTCGGGGATTTTAACGGGGACGGTGATCATCGGCCCGGCCCAGCCTGATATGTGTATATATATTAATTTTAATTTATATATATATATGTATATATATATATATAATATCATTAAAATTTAAAAAACTTTTATCCATTTTACGTCAACAACCCAAATAAGGCTCACGAAAAAGTCTAGTTTATTTGTGTAATTGTGAAATCGTGATTTTAGTTGTATGATGTTTGAAATTCTGTTTAGTTTTATATTGTAATTTAATACATTGTTTGTAATTGGTTCGATTATGTTTGAGACATTTAAACTTGCATCTTTAAAAAAATTGTAATTTACTTTTAGTTGTGAAAATTAACATATTGTAATTTTTTTAGATCTGTTTAGGGTTCAGTTACAACCAACGATGAACGGGAAAAAGAAGATTTTTACCTTAACGGGTTCCCCAACGGGGATCGAGGAAACCGCGGGGACCCGATGGGGATCCCCGATAAGATCCCCGACGGGGATCGGGGTGGTCACGAGGACGGTTTTAGTTATCGGTTTCTGGAACGGGGATACCAATAACCGGCTCGAACCTGACACATTGTCATTCTTAGTTTTAAACGAGATCGTGCAAAGGAGATCGAGCATAGCAGAACAGAGCAAATCGAGATACAGCGTCGATGAATGGATGAGGGCTAAAGAATTTGTCGGATTGAAATTTGAAATCCGTGGTATATGCGGTGGAATTGTGAAATCAATGAATCAAGGAATTTGTTGGAATTGAAAGAATTCCTTCACATCTATTATGTGAACCAAACATGGTATTTGGAATTTGGTCAAAGATTTGGACATTCCAATTCTTTCCGATTCTACCAAATTCCATGAACCAAACACCCCCTTAGTTTGCACGTCCGAAAGTTAACCGTAGCCAACTTGAATTGGTGACCAAAATGGATTAACTGATCACCAATAGTCTCCACAAGAACATACACCATCAACAAAGTGGTGAAACCTGTAATTATCTCTCATGATGATCTCCCTCCTCTCGACCGCAGATATATACTTCATTACCGAATGACAATCTCCACAGACCCGCAAGTTCTTAATGATACGCAAAGGCGAACCAGAAGTGCTAATTAACCCGAAACCCAAAGCAAGCTTTTCACTGTGTCCACATAGCATCATTTCCTTCTCAGCTTCCTCCATGTTTTGCAACACAAATGTGGTATCAGGAACATACCCCTTTTCTTTTATCTTTGAATACAAACTCTCCATCTTTGCCAAAACTTGAGGATGTGAAGTATCTCCAACAACAAAACTATAAACTTTCCTCCCCACTTCAATCCAACTACATCCTGGAGTCTTTGTTACACCTCTTTCTTTCATCAAACACCTTATTCTGGCTGCATCTTCCCATCTCCCTAAGGTTGCATAAATGTTTGCCAATAATATATAACTACCGGAACTCTCTGGTTCAAGTTCAAACAGGAATTTTGCAGCATGTTCTGCCATTTCAACATTGGAATGGATTCTACACGCACCCAATAATGACCCCCAGATAGCAGCATTGGGTTCAAAGGGCATTTTTTCAATGAACTCCAATGTCTCTGATAAGTGACCAGAACGTGCAATTAGATCTATCATACATGCATATTGCTCCATGTCTGGCTCCATGGCATACTCTTGTTCCATCATTTTAAAGCAAGCCTGCCCTTCATTTGTTAATCCCGAGTGGCTACACGCTGACAGGAGATTTGTGAAAGTTACATGGTTTGGTTTTAGACCCTCTTGAGCTGTCATTCGATGGAATAAGTTCAGAGCTTCCATACCAAATCCATGCATTCCATATGCTGCAATCATCACATTCCAGGAGACATTATCTCTTTGTTGAGCTACCAACGATTCAAAAACTTGATGGCTTTTATTGAGGGACCCACACCTTCCATACATGTCGATAAGGGCATTGCATACAAAGTTACTGGAGTCGAGCCCATTTCTGATTATATACTGATGAATCTCTCTACCCTGGCGCAAAGCAGCTAGCTTTGAACACACACTGAGAGTGGAAATCATGGTAACTGAATCAGGTTCAACAGCATTCAATTTCATTTCTCTTAATAAGTCTAATGCACCAACTCCAAAACCACTTTTACCGCTGGCTGCTATAAGGGAGTTCCAAATTACAACATCTTTTGTTGAAATCCCATTGAAAACTGCATAAGCAGCTTCAAGATGATCACATCCTGAGTACATTGCTATGAGGGCACTGCCGACACCGGTGCCCATCTCAATGTTATTTCTAATGGTATAATTATGAATCTCTTTCCCCAAGTTCAAATCTTTTATTTGTGCACAAGAAGCCAAGGCTCCTGATATAGAGGTTGTGTTGGGATAAACACCGAGTTTGCACATTCTAGAAAAGAATTCTAGAGCGGTCTTACCATCGCCATATTGAGTAAAGCCTGTTATCAATCCATTCCATGTGACGATATCTGGTACCACTCCTTGTAACTCCATGTCATAAAGGAATTTGATTGCATCATCGCGGTTACCTTTAATAGCATATGCAGCAAGAATCGAATTCCAAGAAACCAAATCTTTTTGTTTGATTCTATTGAAATTGGTTCTTGCCCCGTCACCTGCATTCTGGCATTTAGAATAGAAGTCAATCAGTGAGTTGCCCACAAATAAACTTGAATCCAATTCTTCTGTCTTTATGCAATAACCATGAATCTCCTTGCCATGTTTTTCCAAAGACAAGTTGGCACAAGCTGAAATAACACTAGAGATGGTGGTCGAATTTGGTTTTACTCCCTTGGTTACCATTTTCCTGAATATATTCAATGCTTGAAAGGGGTACCCATTCTGTAAATTTCCTGTTATCAATGCAGTCCATGACACAATATTTGGTTCTAGTTCTCCAAACCCACCCATTTCTGAGAAATATTTGGCTGCCTCCTTAAATTGGCCAACTTGAGCATAACCACTAAGGATTGTATTCCATGTAACTCTATCGGGAATCACACCTTTAAGCCTCATTTGATCAACATACCTCAAAGCCCTTTTGAAGTCCCTCTTTGACACATATCCAGAAACCATCATGTTCCACATGATAACATCATTTGAACTCATCTGCTCAAACAGCCGTCTTGCAATATCTATCCTTCCACATTTAATAAACATGTCCAAGAAGGATCTTTTGACACAATTATTCCCTTCAAACCCTATTGACATCATGTAATCATATACATCCTTTCCGGCCCGATAATCCTTGAGCTGAGCACAGGCTTTGAAAACTTTTGGAAACACAAAATGATCAGGCCGAACCCCTTCATCAATCATCAAATAAAACAGATTGATTGTCTCCTCATAATCACCCTGTTCACAATACAGCCCTATCACTGAAGTCCAACTAAACACGTTTCTCTCAGTCATTTTATCAAACAACTTGCGTGTCCCATCAATACAAGAAACCTTGCAATAAAATTCCAATAGCTGACTCCCAAGAAACTCACATAATTCGACTCCAGAGACAATCATACGTCCATGAACTTGTAAACCTAGTTGCAGATTATGGATTTTACGACAGTTTCTAAGAATTACAGCATAGGATTGAACACACTCATCTGGGTTGGTTAAATCCATTGAATGGAGGATAGTGAGAACATCCTTTAGCATCAAATCGTTTTCCGGAACAGAATTGGAAACGGTTTGATCGATAATTTGGGCTTTTGAAGAGTTAACATACTTGGTGATGGTTGAGAATCGATGATGGTGGTGGGAAAAAGATCGAGGATTTAAAGGAAGTATTAGAGGGTTTTGAAGACACAGATTGTTGTGATGGAGTGCAGCGAATGGAGTGGAATAAAAGGCCATTCAATTGAGTAACGCCTAATCAGTCGTGAATATGGCGGCAAGTCCACAATGCTGGTGATAAACTTGGTATGTCTAACAGAGTATTTACTTGTGAATACATTCAATCAGGGCGTTCATTATCCAAAGTATTAAACCGCATAAACCATGTAAAAGGCAGTTTACAGCTAGGCATGGTGATGGGGCGCAGACTCCAATCCCGTCTCTGACCCCGGTTCCGGATCTTTGTCTCCATTTCCGTCCTCGTCTCCGTCTCCATTCCTGCCAAGGAATTTAATGACATCCATATTCCCAATCGTAACGGGAAGCGGAGATCTCAACGGGAAATGGGGATTTTTTTACGCTTGTATAAGTTTTTTATATCAAATGTGTGAGACGCTACACATGTTTTATTCTCACATTTTTTCAATAAATCTAAAATCAAAGAATATGCATCGTCATATAATATTTAATCAATTGAAACCAAAAGAAATTAAATTTGATCTAGAAAAATTAACATCAGATCACATGTACCAAAACATATCAAGTAATTAAAACCAGATTTAGTAATATCCAAAATATATTGGAATAAAAATTATCATTTACCGATTTAATAGAAATAAATAATATATATAATATATATCTATACTATACTATAAAATATTTGACAAAAACTTTTAAAAACCATTTTTTATGCATCAAGTATTGTTTATTRATGCATATTAYTTAAAATTYRAKATTACAAGTAAATTRTGCRTAARTACAACTTATTAAAGCTYKATGTTTGAATTCGTATAACTAACTGCGGATAAACATAATCAAATAGAAGATAAACATCTCATTTTAAAATATAAAAAATCTAAAATATAATTAAGATAATTATTGAGTTCTAACAGAATACATAATTATTATATTGATAAAAAATATATATACTATATTATAAAGCATTTGGCAAAAACTTTTAAAAATCATTTTTTACGCATGATGTACTGCTTATTGATGCATATTACTTAAAATTCAAGAGTACAAGTAAATTGTGCATAAGTACAGCTTACTAAATCTCCATATTTAAATTCTTGTAACTAACTGCAGATAAACATAATCAAATACTAAATAATCTTCTCATTTTAAATATATAAAATTTAAAATATAATTAGAATAATCATTGAGTTCTAACATAATACGCAATTATTATCTTTATAAAAAACTATATTATTAAATCAAAAATAAATTACTTTGTTATTAAACCTAAATTAAATTATAAAAAATTGAATCAAAGAAATTACACACAAAAAAAAAAAACTAGAACTTTTATATATCTTTAAAAAAATTATGATATCTTCAAATTAACTTATATTTTATTTAAAATAAAAACATTATCAATTTCTTAAAACCATATAAAACGGTATTACAACATCGATAAAGACAAAGAATAAAACGAAACATTAAAATCGAGATACATCTCGTTGCGTTGCACGAGTATTCTTCTAGTTATATTATAAAACATTTGACAAAAACTCTTAAAAATCATTTTTTATGCATGCAGTACTGTTTATTGATGCATATTACTTAAAATTCAAGATTACAAGTAAAGTACGTAAGTACAACTTATTAAAGCTTCATTTTATAGTTTGTATAACTAACTGCAGATAAATATAATCAAATACGGGATAAATATCTCATTTTAAATATAAAAAATATAAAAATTAATTAGGATAATCACTTAGTTCTAAGAAAATACTTAATTATTATATTTATAAAAAAATTGTATTATTAAACCAAAAATAAATTATCTATTCTATATTATAAAGCATTTGATAAAACTATTAAAACCCATTTTTTATGCATGAAATACTATGTATTGATGCATATTACTGAAAATTCAGGATTACAAGTAAATTATGCATAAATACAACTTATTAAACCTCCATTTTTGAATTTGCGTAACTAACTGCAGATAAACATAAGCATATACAGGATAAACATCATATTTAAATCTAAAAGATCTAAAATATAATTTGGATAATCGTTGAGTTATAATATAATACTTAATTATTATCTTTATAAAAAAAGATATTATTAAACAAAAATAAATTGATTCATTATTAAATTAATATAATACTTAATTATTATCTATTTAAAATATTATATTATTAAACTAAAAATAAATTGGTTCATTATTAGACCTAAATTAAATTATAATAAAAAAATTGAATCAAAAAAATTACACAAACGAGAACTTTAAAATAGTTAATTTGATATTAGTATCGATATATTTTTAAAAAAAAATTAATTACAATATCTTCAAATTTATATTTTGCTCAAAAATAAAAACATTATCACTTTCTCAAAATCATACAAAACTGTATTATATCAATAGACAAAGAATAAAAAGAAACAATAAAATTGAGATATATCTCGCTGCATTGTGCGAGTACCCTTCTAGTTTGGTTATTAAATCTAAATTAAATTATACTAAAAAAAATTAATTAAAGAAATTACATAACAAGAAATTTTAAATAGTTAATTTGATACTAATATTAATATATTTTTTTCAAAAGTTTATAATATTTTCAAATTTATATTTTATTTAAAAATAAAAACATTATCATTTTTTCAAAAGCACATAAAAACGTATTATATCAACAAAAACAAAGAATAAAACCAAATATTAGATCGCGATATATCTCGCTGCATTGCGCGAGTATCCTTCTAGTAATTTATTAATTGATATATAGGCACACGGTAGGGCGGGGAGTGTGATACTCGTCCACGTCCTCGTCCCTAGATTGAATGGGGATCCCCGACCCCGTCTCCGAGACCCGGTTTAACAGGGAATACCCTCCCCGACCGGGGCGGATGGATCGAGTTCCCCGACGATTCAAGGCCAATTCTCATGCCTATTTAGAACTTCTGCGATACAGTTTACAATTTTCAGTTTTGAGTTATCGGTTTACTGTACCACACATTTTGAGGTTGGAGTCTGGAAATCTTATCCAAGGATGCCTAGAAAAAATGTAAGAAAATTCCTGATTTAAAGGTTGAGTAAACCTTCTAAGTAGATATGTTTTTAATTAAATATTTATCTTAAAAAAGAGTTGTAAAAAAGAGTTGAAAAACATGAGTAACGTAAACAGCATAACGTTGTCTATATTTATAGAAATAAACACAAGATGTGCATAGATAACCATATAAATAAATAAATAAAAACCTTATGCAAATACATGAACTTTATCATTAAAAATTTGTGTATTCATGTAACAACCCACGATTACTACTTACAGATAATCCACATAATCATATTATAAAGCAAAGTGTAATATTGTTTACAAAACATGGGTTAACAAAAATTTTGTTTAATACATTTGTGTACATCTACGCATCATCGTTTAAACTTTTCTCTTGCCTTTATCTTGAGATGTATGATGACCTGCAAAACAGGTTTGTCCAACAACTGAGCATTAGACCTAAAAGGTCTAGTGAGTGTACAAATCTCATACAAATAACTTACATCCCAAACTGACAGTTTAGAATCAAACATGTACATACACAAACATTTTATCTATATTTATTATAGATTCTTTTCCTTCCTCGGTCACTCCGCCATTTCATCTCTCTCTCGGTTACACCGCCATTACATATCTCTCTAGCGGTTACACCGCCATTTCATCTCTCTCGCGGTTACACCGCTATTACATCTCTCTCTCGCGGTTACACCGTCATTTCATCTTGTTGATCCTCTCTCTTAGTGATTTGATGATAATCCTTTTTCTCTTTCACGTTGTATTTATGTTTTTGTATTTTCAGTTCCAGCGATCATCACTGAGTATGTTCAGTGATCGCTGAAGAACTTGCATTGTAAATCTATCAGAGACAACAATACTTCAAGAAGACAACACTCACACCAAAGAACCTTCA